CCTTCATTCATTTGGCGTCTGTTTGCACCGGCAGTTTGTGTCTTTTAATATAATGATCCACTTATCTTATGACTGCTCCTTTGAGATGTTGTCATTGGCCAAAACGTCATTTAAGAAACTTGTCTTTATGTAGTGACTTGTACAAACATTGCCATCTTCTCCACCTGCCGAGCTTTCGCAGGCAATTTGCCAGTCTAAACATTCATGTAAATGCTATGGAAAAATGCTTTGTGTTGCATTGCCACCCAAAGAAAATAGCATGATCCTCTGCAATGTGCTGTCACACTGGGCTGTGCACACAAATGTTATTTGTGTCAGGGTTGTTGTTTTTGTCGCCTTCTGCAGGGCCTTTGGTTTTATTTATGATACTTTGTGTCTGTGGTATGAATGGAACAAGGCGCTTGGTTGTGGCTATTGTAGCACTAACAGCAGTGCAGAGGTTGGTGCAGATGGCGCTGCAGTAATTCTGTTAACACTGTGCTAAATGACCGCTGCACCTGGCTCAAAATTACATGAGTAAACACCACAATTTCCAAGGTTAACACTTAAAAGCTCTGTTTTGCATAGGCCTGTAAGAGTGGATTCAAATGTGCACTCCTTATAGTACTGTATGTATGACCTCCCCTAGGCAAACAGAACATCTGTGTTTACAGGCATGGTGTTGTTGTTGTTTGTATTCCTCAGTGAGAAACAACACTCTAATAACACAAACATGTCTATTTTTTAAAAACTTGTACAACCTAGTTACATTTTCATTACATTTATAGGCTGAAAAATCTCTATAGAAACCTGCATCACAGGATACATTGTCATTGTTATCTAATAACAAGATAAACCAATAAATAATCAGGTGATCAGGCAGTCCTCCCCCTCCACTAGGGACTGAACATCCCGGTTTGTATGTCTGCATGGAGCAGAAATGGAAAAGCAGATGAGAAAACATGAGGGAAGTTCTGGGGTTTGCAGGTTTAAATTACTTTCACTGACCTGTTTTTCCAGTGCCAACTGTCCTTCTATAAACAAAGACTCTGTCATAATAGTAAAAAATACTTAGACCAAAACAAAAAATCAACAATACGTTGGCTAATCTGTTTACATGACACAGATTGGCTGAAGGTTTTAATATTCACATAAGAGTTCACTGACAACACAGTAGTCTGTGTGTGCAGCATTAAAAAGAGAAAGGTTTCACTTACTGAAACTGTTGCCACACAATGGAAGTGGATGAGCTTCTTACAGCTGGAAAAACTTTCCATAAAACAAAATGTTTCCTGACAGCACCAGAAAGATTTGGGAAAAGCATTCAGCTTTCTTTTTGTTAAATATACGTATCACAAGTCTTTATTTACTGCCACCTAAATGCCCCATATAAATGTATGTAAGACACAGACTGTGTAATCACATTGTCCCCAGCTTGGGATCTTTGTGGTGTCATCCCCCATCTATCTGTCTACAGCTGTGTAATAAAGGCAGAACACAACCAGATACGTTCATGTAAAAACACTGTTCTGTGAAGACGAGGATGTGCTTGCATGCATGGATAGATTAGTGAAAGGGTCCGCCGGGCACAGGCCCAGGGGGCCTTTCAGTGGGCCCCTGGAGCTCGCTTGCAAAATACTGTATCTCAGAAACAGAGAAGACATTGCCATATGGAGACACCAAACAGGGACAAAATGATGAAAAATGTCCCAAAAGACACAAAACATCTGCCAAGAGACACTAAGCAACCGCAAGGAGATGCCAAAATAACTACAAATAGGTGTAAAATGAATATGGAAAATGACCATAAAGAGACACAAGAAGAGCATAAAAAAATGCTAAATGACTACACAGAGAGACAAAACATCCACAGAGATGCTAATCAGCTGCAGCAAACATGCAGCTATAAGCATAAAACAAACATGTTTCTCTCAGTCTAGGTGGCTTGCTTCTATGTGGGATGGTGGTGGTGGGGGGGGCTCTGCACGGGACCCATTTGAGTCATAATCCATTGATGCTTGCACAGTGTGTGCTGTTTGTGTTGACATTTGTCAAAGTTGCTTATTATTAACATTTTTGATAGTTGTCAACTTTTGGCTGACCAAAGGCCTTTAGAAGAAGTTTCTGTTTGGGATTTGTCTTTTAAGTCATTGGCCTTATATTTTATTTGCTTTTAGTGACTGCTGAAAGTGAGTTTTCCTTGAAAGGACAGTAGAATAAGGTTATACTGGATGGTTTTAGTGTGTGGGACGCAGCTACACTGAGTCATCAGTGTCCTCGTCATCCAGAAACCTTGACAGTGACTCTTAAAGGCCAGTTTCAGCCAGTTTATTTATAGCAGCCTCTCAGTCTGAGTGGCCACAGAGATGTCTTATCATCTCCTGCGGGCAGCTGTCGAAGCAGTATATGAAAGATGGATTTAATAATGCTTCCTTAAACCAGCAGTCGCACTCCAGACGGGAACTTCCTGTGTCTGCGTGGACATAGTGAGACACTTACTGGTCCACAGTCGACTCCTCTGGAGGGGCTGATGGTGCTCATGTGTGAACGGAGTTGACACCATACGCTACTATTAATATTATAGTTAATTATTTTCTGTTACTTGTTAAACATCGCACATGTGTACATGCTTCAAAACATGACACACGTCCAGTGGCAATGCAGGATGAAGAGTAGCTAGTGTTTATGTAGTGTGGTAGAAAAATAAGGGTGAGACTGAGGTTTATGTCTCAGAAGAACATCTAGATTTACATCTTCTTTTTTTCTTCATATCATCATATGGTCATGAAGCCAGAGACAGACAGTTATCACCCGACTCCACTGAGCTGTGTGGCTGCTCTCAGCTCACTGATGTGGATTTCTGCTCTGCGGCTTTGCTGTTTGTGTTCACTCTCCCTCTGTGCCTTGTTTTTGGCTGCAGCAGGCAGCAAGTGAAACAAACTCCTATGCCAACTGTTAACCAACAGACAGTCAAAGTTAGGCACTTGCTGGTGAACATAGTGGGGCATTTAATGGTTAAAGAGCCCAAAATGTCCCCAGGTGTCTGTGGAGACAGTTGACATTCAGCGTTTTTCAGCAAAATGCGCCGTGTATCCTTGAGGCCAAACAAACATATAGAAAATGTTGAGCCCATTTATTGTTTCCTTCCATGTTTGCTTGCTGCCTGGCTTCTTCTGTCATGCCTTTGCTGGTGTGTTGCTGCGTGTTTTGACCTGATACCACCACCTGTAGATCAGTGGAAGA